TGATTTCTTCTGGTGGGGCATAGTTCAGAGTTAATTCCTGTGTTTTATTTACATTAACCTTGTACCCTGAAAAAGAGCCATGGTCTAGTAGTAGTTTAATGATTTTAGGAACAACCTGTGTGGGGTAAGATATAGTCAATAGTAAATCATCAGCAAAAAGTGCCAAATTTTGCTCCCCTCCTACTGTTCTTACTCCAGTTATATCCTTTCTCTGCCTGATCCACTGGCTTAAAGGTGCTATATGGAACTTTTCTTCTAAAATGAATCCTTTTTTTATTGCCTGTGTGTGAAGGTGTTGTAATCACACATTACAATGATCCACTTGTCGGGTTTTGCTATTACCTCGGCCAATATTCATATTTCTATGTGAAGTCTCCGGGTCGGATTTACCGCGAAATCCATCGGATGTGACGTGCATGCGCGCTCCCGAGCCTCTCTCCTTATATACAGTCTATGCGACCGACGGCACTGCAGCTGACGACATGGAGTCTGATAACACCCCAAAACGACCTGCCTCCAGCACAACACACACTCCAACACTAACTCCACATACAAATAAAAAACAAAACAAAGTTTTATCTGCTGAAGCTCGTCAGGTCAAACGTGATTCTGATCGACTCAGGACGAAAACACGGATCAACATCGGCAGAGCTTTTGAATTATTAGTAAACTCAAATGAAATAGCAAGGTAAACTACATGAGACATGGAATGAATACAAAAGACTGTTCCAGGATAAGAAAAGGTGCTTTAGGATACTTGTTTTATGTACTAGATCTACGTTATGGATCGTTATGCTATAACGTAATTCATCCCACTATCATATTGTTTATAATAAACATTTCCAGACACGTTCAGTACAGTAATGTTACTTCCTACTGTCTTACTGTTACACTGACATTGTTCAGTCTAGTTCACTAACCGTTTTCGTTATCATTATTATACATTCACCTATGTTGACATTGTTGATTGTGAAAGATACACGAATAGTTAGTGAAATGCCGTAGGCTATGCTAGATAACACCACATGTCGGCTAAATGCAGTCAATGTAACGTTATCATGGTACGAGCATGGAGCATTAGTTCAAGTCAAGCTGATAAAAGTAGCCTATTATTGTAACGTTGCAGTGGGAGTTTACATGAGTTTCCAGCATGTTGTGTGATGCTTTCGCCGTTGCGTTGAAAGTCTCCGTGTGGCCGGGAGTGAATGCTCGCTCCTGAGATCGCACACGCACACGAGCACGAGCGCTCTTGTTGCAATCTGAAACATCACCACTAGAGGCCGCTAAAAGTTCCATAGAGCACCTTTAAAGGTTCGATAAACAAGGCGAAGAGGAGAGGCGAGATGGAACACCCTTGTCGAGTCCCGCGCTCCAATATGAATGATTCAGTGAGGTCTCCGTTAGTTTTGATCCAAGAAATAACCCTGAAATAACCTCAATTACAGATTTATCAAAACCGAAATTTTCAAGCACCTTATTTAAAAAGGACCACCTCACTGAATCAAATGCCTTTTCAGCATCTAAACTCAAGGTCTCTAATTTTTGCTTATCAACTTGCCTCATTATGTGTAAAACCCTCCTAATGTTGTCTTGAGTCTGTCTTTGTTTGATGAAACCTGTCTGATCTTTATGTATTAACCCTGGTAAAATTGTTTAGAATCTTCTTGACAGGATAGAGGTGAACAACTTATAGTCTATATTCAGAACACTAATTAGAATGCCCTCTAATTATTAACATTATTAGAATGTTTGTGTTCAACCACCATAAGGTAGATCTATTCTTACTGTTCAGGAAGATATTAGCGTAAACCCAGAAAGCATGTATAATCGGCCCGAGCTCGGCTGCCCCGCGGCGCCTGCGGCCCAGACTCGGCATCGGCGTGTGTTAACCGGGCCGAGTGTGGCCCGCAGCTCGCTCTGGCACATGCATTTTTGTTACGGCTGTAAAGTACTGGGCCGATTCATGTTCACCATAACTGGTAACCCGGCTCTGCCTGTATGATCTGGACCACTTCTGGAAATGACTCGGCTTAGATTAAATCAATGATGGTTTTAATGAAGCAATAATTAACATAAAAATTATTTTAAAATTGACGTAAATTCCTGACCGTATCTGATGCTTGTCCAAAACAAAATATTAATATTTTTTGCAGTAATAATAATAGTGTCGTTTTACACAGAGCATTCTTTAATATTTATAACCATAGCAAAAATATTTAGTTGTCATGAAGATCATTCTTTAGTTTATGTATTTTAAACATGCATGCGCGCTAGGTGACATCACTCGCACAGCAGTCATGGTGATCGCAGTCGCGGCATTGGCTGAGTAGTGGCAACCGCAATTAGGCCAAGTCACTTCATTTTATTGCCTATTTCAAATATTTACCACCATTGACAGCGGTCGACGGCTGTAAACTCTGGGCGCTCGGTCGGCTCAGACCCGTTTACCAGTATGAAGCCGATTTCAACGGTTACTGCAGCAAGCGCCTGCACGCATGCTCAGCTCATCACTGGAGTGACGTGTGCACAACTTTGGGTCAATAAGACATGTACAAGATTTTCACTTTACAGTTCAATTAGAGTTAGGTTAGAAAACAAATACAACACTATCCATGCTAAACACATATTTGATGTATTCAGATGAAAATTTACACAAGCAATTCTTCAGAGCCCCAAGGTGGAATTGTAAAAAATGTAAGATTACTCATGTGTCAGTGACGGTAACTATAATCATAAGGTCATGATTTCATCCTTTAAAACAGATGAAGAAATCAACAAATTTTGGTGTTGAGCTGAGAGGGTTGTGGTCTGTTGCTCTTTGACTTATATCTTTCAATGCAGGTTTATATTGTTTCAACAATTTTTGCCTGACCCCTGGGGTGCTCCGTATATTTCTGATAATATTTGTGGAGAAACATTACACTGTTTTAATTCAGAATCCTAACCATACATTGCACTAATTAAAAGTAATTTATTAAATTAATTAAAATAAAAAAATAACACAAAAGGTCAATGAATCCGTACCAGAAGTGATAGTGCAATGTAGCACCTAAAGAATAATCCTCCACCAAATTACCAGTAATCAGCGGGATCCTTGGCAAATCTGGGGGGGAAAGAAGAAATTTTTCAATAAAAAGTCCTTAAAGGTGAACTAAGTAACTTTTTTACCTTAACCGAACAGCTTTGGAGTCATTGTAATGTTTATATTACTGATTTCGTGTTGAATGGTGGTCGTCTCGCACCCCCCTGGTGCCTGTGAGCCGCAAAATCACACTTGCAACTTTGGGCCGGCGAGCCGCCGGCCTCAGTGTTAGGAAGTATCGTGTGATATCAGGTCTCGCGAGGTAACGAATTGCTTTACGGCAAAAAACAGATCTGATAAAATTCTGATAAAATGAGCATCAAACAGAAATAACCCGGCGCCGTATACATGTGGTGTTCGAGGCGCAGGGCGCGTGCAGCTCTTAAAGGGGCCATACCTTATTTCCACTCGTTATAGCGTCCATCCTACTGAACAGGTACCGGTGTACAGGGGGAGGGGATCCGGCCGTGAGTGCGAGCCATCTCTGCGTGAGTGCTGTTCACGACAGTACAAGTACTCCACAGCGACTCTAGGGGTCGCTGTTTGACAAAAACGGAATTCTTACTTAGTTCTGCTTTAAAGCAGTATATATATATATATATATATATATTTTTTTTTTTACCATTCCTTTAAACAATTTTAAAATTGATTTAAATTGTAAAAACGTTTGCCATTATAACATTCACACAACATGAACGGAGTAATGTCATCTTTGAGACTGTTAGTTATTACATGATTAAAAATGTAAACATACACTTAAAGCATGGCAATCACATCAGAAATGTGTAATATAGCAAGGGAAGCACACAAAAAAAAGCTGTTTGGTACACCAAAATCAAACCATCAAATGATTTTGCCACTACCAGCCACACAATCTCTCACTGTTTACATCCATCAGACACTCCTAATGATAAACAAAAGCACACATACAGTTCAATACAGATCTTATTTACCTATTTCTCATCTTATCTTGTTTTTATTTGCTCTTTTTACCCGTATGGGAGCGCGCTCGTGGCTCTAGCATCGCGCCGGCCACTACCAGCCACACAATCTCTTGCTGTTTACGGCCACTACCAGCCACACAATCTCTCACTGTTTACATCCATCAGACACTCCTAATGATAAACAAAAGCACACATACAGTGCAATACATATCGTATTTACCTATTTCTCATCTTATCTTGTTTTTATTTGCTCTTTTTACCCGTACTATATGGGAGTGCGCGCTCGTGCTCTATAGCATCGCGCCGGCCATACCAGCCACACAATCTCTCGCTGTTTACACCTATCAGACACTCCTAATCATACACGAGAGCACGCAGACAGTGCAATACAAATCTTATTTACCTATTTCTCAACTAAATCTTATTTTTATTCGCTCTTTTTGTTTACACGTAGCCTATGGGAGCGCGCTCGTGGCTCTTACCGTCGCGCCAGCCACATGATCTCTTACTGTTTTAGCAGTTGTCTGTCATCCATTTAGGATGGATCAGGGGAACAAACTGCTTGTTACAGAACATGCCACAGTCAAGGAGAGTAAAATCAATCACATTGTTTTATGAAATATTGTTTAAATAGCCTACCTTTTTAAGTACTCGTTTGGTGAACCATTTCTAAAGCTTTATAAACGATTTCTTTAAATGTTTGTGTTTTTCAACAACATTGAAACAGAATTGGTAATTATTATTTGTAATAATTTATTGTATACAGAGAAAAAAGTCCTGACAGCACAATGTGTGTGGCACAGCAATGAGGCATCTCTTTGCCCTTAAAACCAATCTGGATCTCTGGATATTCTGTAAAAATGATAAGAGTTTAATCATTTAAGGATTTATAAAACACATAGAATAGACAAAGCTATAGAGCAAATACTAAAATCAGAAAAAGGGGTACTAAAATGCCATTTTAACATACTTACGCCAAATGTCCCTTTGTGTGCAAAACCGTTTCTGCCTGGAACCTGTGGAAGCCCTCTGTTTTTTTTATGATTAATAGGGTTACCTTTGAAAGACCAAGAAAGGAAAGAGAGGATGGCTATTTACATAATGACCCATGAAGTGAGTCATCATAGGCGAACAAAATTATCAAATTTACCTCAGGAGTTAATACTTCCAAAATGTAGGATGTATTGGTTAACTCTTTCATGTCAATCTTTGTGACTTCTTGAAGTCTATCAATGATCCCCTCTGTCTGTTGGCAAAAGGCATTGCATTCAACGTTGTTAAAGTATATTTGTTTTATCAGAAGTGTAGCTTATTTCCAAATATTAGTAAATAATTGTTTATATTTGTGGGTTTTCCTACAAAAGTTACTTGATTGTTTGTTAATTATAAAATAGTTTTACCTGTTGTTCATCAAAAAAAGAAATCCTTTCATTTAGTTACATCTTCAGCTTAGGGGCAAATGTTGGATTTTTATGCAAAAACATCCTGTTTGATCTTATTGTGCCACTTGTCAAGCCACTGTGTAGTTCCTACAATGTGAGGAAATGGTTAATTCATTTCATACAGTAATGAAATAACTGTATGTGGGTTCATTCAGTATCTCTTTGAACAAATATAACAAATATATAACAAATATACTTTAACAACATTGAATGCAATGCCTTTTGCCAACAGACAGAGGGGATCATTGATTGAGTGAAACAAATATATATTATTTTTCTAATATATTTAGAAATATATTTGTTTCACTTGTAAGATTCACCTTACAAAAAAGGCAAGTCACATTTATTCAGTTATTGGTGTGACGAAGTATTCATGTTGTTTACCATTATCTCCTGATCTGTCACTACGCCTACCATGTCGTCTCTGGTGTAAAGTCCTAAGAACAAAAGAGGTGCAAACTAGTTTATGATTTTAAGCAAAATAGTAATTTTAATATTTATTTTATAATTTACAAAAATGTTAGACCCTAGACAGACCATACATGCATCCATTTTATAGAAAAAGAAGCATGATTTAATTTAGAAATTGAGACTCCCCTTTACCTCAGTTTGTATATTTTCAACCAAACACAAAGCATGGTAAACTCTTAAGGTGAATCAACTGTTCAGTGTGGAGCAACTCGAATGACATGTTGAGACCTTTTGCTTCCATCTCTGCAGCCTATGAAAATGTAAAGCGCTTTGTATAATGTAGTGTGCTAGTAAACAATTTTTGATTGAAGACTCATTGAATTTATTATATAAATGTTAATTCGTGTACACATTAGTGAAAATAAATCTCCATCCACTTACTGTGCAAACAAAAACACCACAGTTGCTTCCATCATTTCTCTGCCATTGCTGCGGATTGCACTCAGTCCACCCTTCCAGGGAGTCTAGATTTCTAAACGCATCTCTGGGAAATATAATTAATGTAAAGTAGGCAACCAAGTCATTCAATATTTTAAAACGTATACAAATATTAAATAAATTATGGATCGTACTTCAGAATGTCCATGTCTGTTGCTGAAATGTCAATGTTGTGCTGTGTGTTGTCATAAATTCTTATTTGTTTTGCTGTCTTGTCAAAAACCTGTAGAAGAAATTCAATAAAGAGCTAATTTACAACGCTTACAAATGCTAAATTGACTTATTTACAAAATTTTACTCTGTACAGTCTCTTTATTATCTCATTTCCTCATTGTGTGACTAACACTTCTTGAGTTGAACTTACCCAAAGAATGAAGTGGCATCCTCTCTCTGGTGTCTGGCCACCAATAATTCTTGGTAACAGAATTTTCTGTGCATCATTCTGTAATGAAAGAAATAGGAAACACATTATACTGTGTCATTACATGTAGAAACATGCAGGAAAGCTTAATATATATTTATTTTACAAATTGTACCGTACCTCAAGAATATTCAAATGAGAATCTGAAACTGTTTTTGAAGCAAGCCAGTCTCTATGCCACAAAATGAATGTGTCAGTCGTCAAGGCTATACACTGAGGATAGAACAAAATTACATGTAAATTGTATAAAGGAAATGCACTACACCTGTCTCATATAGCATGTATGTTGAATAAATCGCACAATAGGAATAATTGATTAACTTTGATGAAATTGACAAAAAAATATTTTATGAAAAGTAGTGTGAAAAAAATATATGTTATAAAGTAATTACTTACTCCTGGGTCTCTGCTGCAATTTGTGCAACCCGACAATTCACTGCCTTTAAAGCACAATATGAAAATGCATTGTAGAAATTGTGATGTGAGTTTCAACATCTACTGTACATGTCTTAAAAGTTTAACATCACATTTTAGATAAGTAACAGTTCACTAATGAGTTTATCAATTGGATTAAATTAAACTAATATTAGTCATAATAATTGGTACTCACATTATCAGTCAGCCATGGCATCCAAATACTGGTGTCTTTCAAGAGATCAGGTGGGCAAAGGCTTTTCAGGTCACGTAGTTCCAATGAGGTGTAGCGAGAGATTTTAGCAATGACAGTGGTGTCTGTCTTCTCGACAGAATAGAGATGTGAGATTTTGTCCTAAGGTTGAAAAAGTAATGTTAATATTTGTATTTTCCTATTGAAAAAAAAAAAAAAAAAAAAAAAAAAATCGGCATGCAGAGTTCATATATATATATACCGGTATGTAATTACTGAAACGAGCACATGTTACCTTATTTGTTTCATTAGCTGGAAACATTGACACTGAAAACTGGTAACAATCAAAACTGTCTTCTTTCGCTGGACCCTGAGGACTTCTGGAGTCTTGGTCAGTTTTTCTTGTGTATGTTTCTAGAATTAATTTTGAATAGTTGCATTATATTAATACATAATGGCCCATTTTCACAGACATGGCTTAACTTAAGTCAGGAGTACATCTTAGATAAGTATGAAACATTAAGCAGGGTTTATCAAAATGCCTTAAAAGAGGAAAATGCCCTAATACAACATAATTAGTATGCATCTTGTGACAAAACAATGACACTGATTCTAATAATTGTCAGTTCAAGTTAGTTTATAGTTAAGACAGCTCAAACATTCATTTAAGTCTGAGACTAGACTTAAGCCTTGTACTTAAACCAGGGGTAAGTGTCAAACCTGTATTAAATTTCATGTAAAAGTAATTTAAAATTTTCACCTTCTCACCTGTTCTGCCACATACTAGTTTGCCATTTAATCCGATGCGTATGGCCTCTGATGTGTTTTGTTTTTCCATTTCCTTCATGAAGGAGCTATTAAGTTTTTCATTGTGGAGGTGAAAATAGAGACGCAGTGAGAACATGTAATGGGTGTCCTTCATTTGGCACAGTGAGTAGCGGCTTGCTGTTTATTTGTTCTGCTGCTGCAGAATTAATCAGAGAAGCCAGGTCTGGGATCACTTTAAGGCTGCGTAGTCTCTCTTCAGGGCGCTTCTGTTTTTTTTTAATGAAATCTGTCATACAATGAGTACCGGTCTGATGTCCCAGTCTCAGGGTGTGGATATGAGAACTTGTCCATTTCTTTGGCTTTTCCTGCAAATCTTGGTTTCCTTCTGATGTTCTTTATCCATTCAAGATCTACAGTTAACTTTCCTTCACCTGCAAGTGATATGTTGGCTTCCGTTGGTGCACATACCCGTCCTTCATTTGGCTGGAAGAATCTCTGCTGTGTTCGATTGTTCACATGTCTGGCAACACGTCCAGCAATGTTAGAGATGTACACATTGGGTGGATGTTTAAAACTTAGGAGAGCATACCCGTGGTCCCGTGCAGATTCCTGCCACCATAATGGTGATGCATAATATGCAACACGATGGGTGCAGCCCATATGTAACACTCCACCTGTGTTATAATAACAGAAATGTTATTATGCAAATGTTTTCTGCATAATTATGGGTAATAAAACAAGAAAAGCATGAACAATTCCCTGCACTAAATAATGTATATGATATGGAATACCAATATCTTACCTCCAGCTTTCTTCAGCTTCACAAACATTTTGGGGTAAATCTCCTTATAAAGGAGAAGTTCCTCCAGCCTGTTTATAAGGTCTGTTATCGAGCCAGTTGAAGACACTCCAAGACAATTGCATGCCTTCACCAGGTCTTCTCTTTTGTGCTGTAGAGAAATTATAATCTATTATTTTTGTTTATGGGGAAAGAAAGTTCTGGCATGCTAAAAAGGCAAACAGGTCATATTACTTTCTCAGAAGAATAATGATAATGGGGAAAAAAACAAAGATTTTTAAAGAACATTCAATGGGTCAAATTATATATATTGTGTAAAAATTTAAGGCAGGTAGGTTTTCAAGGTCAGTATAAAGGTATAAGTCCCACTTTACATTAGGTGGCCTTAACTACTTTAGTACTGCTACTTGCATAAAAAAACTAAGTACAATATACGTACAGTATTAAGTTCATATTGTATTGCAACACATTTTTGCTGCTCTTGAGGTGGGATACAGTTAAAGTTAGGAGAGTTTAGGTGCTATTTTTAGATTTAAGAGTAAGTTAAGGTATAATGGATTGGTCAACAGTGTAATTATATATGTATTACATGCTGGTATTTTTAAATTTTACTTACAGTTTAAAAACATGTTTGTAAACAATAACTGCATTGTATCAAAGTTATTAATTTAAATGTAATTAGTAGTAAAGGCCATCTGATGTAAAGTGGGACCAATGTTATGGTACACCCTCTTAATATCTTGAATAATAATCCAAAGTATTTCACATGTAATATTATGGTCTTTAATACACATTTCTCTCAACAGGGATGAAGAGGGATATTACACATTAAAACTGTGGAGCATTGAGAAGGAAATCGTATCAGGTAAGTATAATAGGTAAGAACTCAGTTTGAGTTCAAAGAAGGTAATTAGCTGCAAGTGCGTCTAATACTCCGGTAAGTATGAGCGGGTGAGTCTAGTGCACTCATTATATATGGCATACTGCTAAATTTCTTACCGATCTTGAGTCTAGTATTTGCAAAATCTGGTCTTCATCAACTTCCTGGCCTTCACGGCATGCAGAGTTCACCCTTTCACTTTGAGAGAGACCTTTATTAATTTCAGTTTTTGGAACCTTGTCATCAACTCTGGTGTGTTTCCCATCCAAGGTGCAAATGCTGAATATGTCAGCGGACTTGTGAAAGGGTTGTTAGATAAATCTGAGGAACATACGTTTTTAGATCAACATCAGTTAATTTTGCCACTACAGCTACAAAACTACAATAAATATAGTTTTACCCTGATTTTTTACAAATGTAACACATTGACATTGTTAATATACATTATTATCATTTAAGCCAATAGTAGAATTAAACAGGGTATTCATGGCTACCATCACAAAATCCAGTGGCAATGATCTCTTTTTCTAGGTCCTCCCATCTTGCTGCCACATTAGCCTGAGTGTCCTGGGGGCCGATGTTGTCTATGTCTGGGCGTCTCATGAGATTGACTAGAAATTATAGCGTAAAAGGGGTATTGACAAGCTGTATGTGAATGTGTGTTAAGGTGAATGCATAAATTATTTTTTTTTACAGATTGTTTTTTGTTCAGATGTTACACTCACCTGGTAAATCGAATGCAACTTTCCAGTTGGCATCTGCTATGACAATGGATGGGTGGTGTCCACATCGGTAACAAAAAAAATCGTATGAGTACTGTCTTAGCGCACAGAAATGGTAAAATGCCTTTCTTAAAGTATTGACTGGCAATTTAGATCAGGAATGGGATTCCATTGTTCTGATCATGCGACCCACAGCAATGTGATTCTGTGGAAAGTGAATATAATAACGTTGTAAACATTTAATCAACAGTTTTCATAGCCACCTGTTTAAATATCTTGAAATATGCCCTCTAATTAGTCTCTGTTTGGGGTCATTATGACCCCACTGGACTTTTCCTTGAATTTTTAAAAATGTTCCCTTCATCTCAGGGCCATGAAACTCTGTGACTTTTCCTACATAATCTATCTAAATATGCACAAAAAAAACTGGGTTCGATTCGGTTGTTCTAAAGGTGTGTAAATTTTTTTTTACCATTTAAGGGGTTTGGGGTCAAAATGACCCCAATTGAAAATGAATGGGAAAATGAAAAAAATGACTTTTTTTATTTTGTTTGTCAAATAAATAAAAGTAAATCCATTATAAATCTGAAATGTTCTACATATAAACCAAGGTCTGGTCCTAGAGCATAAATAGAAAGTAGAACAAACTTTCTATCTCATACACACACACAGATACACACACACAAACACACACATGTCATGACTGCAAAAGAGAGCATTTTTACAGAAATTGGCAAATAAAATAAACAAAACTGGCCTAAATTAAAAAGAAAATGACATATAAATCAAGGTCTGGTCCTAGAGCATAAACACAAAGTGGAACGAACTTTCTATCTCATACACACGCACACACACACACACATACACACACAGACACAAATCTATGTGACTGCAACAGAGAGCATTTTTTTTACAGAAATTGGCAAATAAAATAAACAAAACTGGCATAAAAAAAAAAAAAAGACATATAAACCAAGGACTGGTCGTAGAGCATAAACACAAAGTGGAACGAACTTTCTATCTCATACACACACACACAAACACACACATGTATGTGACTGCAACCGAGAGCATTGTTACAGATATTGGCAAATAAAATAAACAAAACTGGCATAAATCTAAAAAAAAAAAACATATAAATCAAGGTCTGGTCCTAGAGCATAAACACAAAGTGGAACAAACTTTCTATCTCACACACACACACGCATGTATGTGACTGCAACAGATAGCATTTTTATAGAAATTGGCAAATAAATCAACTAAACTGGCATAAATCATATTTTATGGCATAAAAGATTTCACAAATGCAACATGGAAGAAGCATGTTCCCTCACACACACACACACACACACACACACACAAACACACACACACACACGCACATATACACAGAGAGAGAGAAAGATGGGGAAAAGCAGATAATTCAAATTATATCAGACAACAACAACAAATTCTAACTTTGACAAAAATACAGATTTTTATGTATTTTCAGAATGTTTAAATAGGCTATATTCACAAAATAAATATCAAAGTTTGAGGGGAAGTTGAACAGTCAAGAAAAATTAAGTGAAAATGAAACTAGTTCCTATATGGTCTTATATGGACCTCTACTGGAGACATGGGGTCATTGCATTTTATCTCTTTAATTATAATATCTAAAGTTTTTTCCACCACCAGCAGATGTCAGTATTCTATCCCTAACACATAGAGCAATGTCCAAAAACTAGGGGTGTAACGATACACTCAGCTCACGATTCGATACGTATCACGATACTGGGTTCACGATACGATATGCATCACGATATTTTGAACAAAATAAAAAAATTCAACTGAAAATCAAATAACAGATTTATTTAACATTAACAGTGTTCAATAACTGTCTTGTTATACATGCAACTTAAAGAATATACAATACTTCAATATAAATCAAGATTTAGTTTAACCTTCTGTACGTAAATAAATTAACAATGACTACTAGGTGTCACTGACCAATAAAACTGAATTGTATCATGAAATTAAAATTAGGATAGCCCAAGAAAGAACTTCTTTAAGCAGTAAAAGTGCAACAAAAAACACATCAAGTAGTGTCCTGTTCAAGTAATTTCAACACAAACAGCTTTTTTTTTTTTTTGGTTACTTACAGGTTTTTTTGCAAGAAAACTAGCATATCTACATTTTCTGGCAGTAGCTGGGATCTTTGCGCATTTACAATATCCCCTGCTGTCGAAAAAACACGTTCACTAGGAACAGAAGTTGCTGGAACTGTGAGGAAAGCCTTTGCAAGAGGTGAAAGAAGAGGGTACATTTGAGCATTTTCCTTCCACCATTTCAGTGGACAGCTAGTGAGGGGAATAGAAGTGTCCTTTTTGTACATGTCAATCTCTACTTCTATCCTAGTTTTGGACTGGGTGACTGGTGGTTCAGAAAAAGTTGCACCAAAGAGCTCTTCCAGTGCTGTCTTTTTACTAGGTGGTTGTTCTGGCTCAACTCTGTGTGCTGCATCTCTTTGATCTGCTGCATCAGTGGGATATCCATCACTGGCACCTCCCTCCTTTGTTTGCTTCCCAAGTGACAGCCTTAAAATAAACTAAATAAAACAATTAAGGTATACTAGTAAGTAAGTATAGTTTCAAGTACATACACAAAAGGTGTGCACAAAGTAGGTTACACAAACATGCAATTAGAGTGACAAACACACACAAGTGCAAATACACAGATTCTCAGACAATTTGTAATGCAGACAAGAAGACATACCTGTTGTAACTGGTTTGATTTGTTCTTCAACCGGTGAAAAACCTCTTCACGTTGTTCAGGGAGTAAGTGGGGCAATGACCGAAATCTGGGGTCCAAGGCAGTACCCTCTAGTAGATAATCCTGTTCCTCTGTGAATCTGCTTGAGAGGTTTTGCAGGATGGCTGTCTTCATGTTAGCAATAGTTGTGGAGTCTTTCTCGTCCGGTGTCATGCTCTGTTCGATCATGGCTTTCAAGGGCAATATGAGTGACAGCGTGGGGCTCTTTTCATCAGACAGGACAGTGGTTGCTTTTTTTAACGGTTTAAGAAGGTTTACGATTTCTTCGGCGTCACTGATGTCAGCGCTATCCATAGTATCGAGTTGACGTGCATTTTTGCGCACCTCTGTGCTCAAGAGGGCTGCCGTTATCGCAGCTTGTTGCTCGAGATAGCGTTCCAGCATCTCCATTGAGCTGTTCCAGCGTGTAACAACATCCATGATAAGCTTGTGTGATGCGATCTCAAGCATATTTTGCTTTGCCGCGAGCACAGCTGTTGCTGTGGTACTGCGGTGAAAGAAAGCCACGACTTTCCTCACGCGACCAAGCAAGCGACTGACGCGGGGAACATTCAATCCTGCTTGCGAAGCAAGATTCAAAGTGTGTGCAAAACACTTAATATGCGGTGACATCCCTGCTTCCCTCACTGCCACAACCATGTTGCGTGCGTTGTCTGTAACGACAGCAATGCTATGAGCAGATCTTTCAAGCTCCCACTCTTGTATGGTCGCTTTTAAAACATCAGCTATGTTTGTACCAGTGTGCGACTCGAAAAGCGGGCGAGTCTGAAGCACAACACTTTTCATTTCCCACTCTGTGGAAATAACATGCGCTGTGACTGTGATGTAACTCTGAACAGCCCTCGAAGTCCATCCGTCAGTTGTTATCGCCACACTCTCAGCATTTTTCAAAACATCTGTCACACTTGCTTTAACTTCGTTGTACAGGGCTGGAATTACCTCCTGACTGAAGTGCGGGCGTGACGGAATATGATATCTGGGCTCCAGTACCCTCACCAATTCGCGAAATCCAACATTTTCGACGACCGAGAATGGCCTCATGTCTTTTGCGATAAAAACTCCGATGCACCTGGTTATTTCTTGAGCTTTTGCACTTGACTGAGACCATGTTGAAGCAAAACTACGTTCTAAAGATAGCTGGCCTTCTTTCACTCTCTTTTTCGCACCCAGTTGCAGGAGTTTCTCTTTGTGGTACCGTTTTAAATGACACATCATATTTGTAGTGTTCGACGTCGTGTATAACAGTGTTTGTTTACAGTATTTACACACAGTTCGTGTTTTGTCTGTTTTTTTACCGTCCTCCTGTCGAGTAACTGGAAAACCAAAATGCTGCCAGACGTCAGACTTGTAAGTGGACGGAGCATCTTCTATTTCTATTTCAGACGAAGTCGAACTCATTTTGCCCTGCTACTGCTCACAGTTCAAGCGATTCATTTGAGCCTGAATGCAAGCGTGACGTATGACGTGGGTGCGGTAGCTCAACCAATAGGATAAAACGGACGTCAAATCGTAAAAAAAAAAAAAAAAAAATGTTTTATATAATATCGTCATAACTCTACGATACATATCGTGACATTTTTGCATCGCGATAAATCGTACCACGATATATCGTTACACCCCTACCAAAAACAATTTAGATTTAATTAGGATCATCATTTAAGTGATTTTTTCTTTAAAAAAATAATTTTTTATCAGACAATTTATGGCCTAGTTAAGTAATTGTGCAGTAAATATGTAAAAAACTTCAAAATTTCCACAAAAACATATATAGACATACATATATAGTTGAGAAGTAAATTAAAAAAATGATATATAGTTTTCCATATAAAAAAATTATATTTTCTCATTTTGACCCCAAACTTTTAACAGATTGAGCGCAACAGATTGAGCGTTGTCCTTTTCTAACAGTGATTAAGGGTTAAATTGAAATAATAAGTTTGTGCAATGTGCATACTTACTGAAATTCCAGCCGTCAGAAAAGAGCATAAGGGGATTGACAGGAACACTCTGTTGTTATAGTTGTGGAACCCACTCTTATATTCCTGAAACCTGACCAGGTTTCTGCAGACAGGACATTCTTTTGCATAGACAGATACACCTAGATGAAAAATAAATAAATGCAATTTGTTAATTTACATCCTTTATAAGAACAGAATGTTATTCACCATGTAAATAATTACAGAACTCATCCTACCTTTATATTGTTTGAATATGCCGTAAACAGTTGCTTGTCGGGTGATTAGTAGTCTGTCTTCAAGATTTGGCGGAGATGGCCCAGGACAGTATGGGCACTCTACTTCTTGAGGTTCAAAATGTTCTGGAATGGGCTTTACTTCTGTGGTTAAATCCACTGGAAGGTCCTCTGGGATTCTTTTTGAACTCCAAAAGTAGTTAGTCTGTGTGATGATACCACTATGTGAATTTTCTGAATGTTGATGGATGTTGCACTGAAATTCTCCTCCATATCTTCAAGTTCCTCATTTGAATTGTCCACTGCATGTTGTAGCAGCTGAGGATGTTCTTGAAAAAGCCACCACATGGACAAATATCGATGGGCACAACTGATCTTGAATTTTGTGCCTCTGCACCTGCAGTGCCATTTACCAGTTTTACTGTCAAAGGTGTAGATTGTTCGTCCAAGCCTACACCAATTGTCCTTTTGGCCAGTATACACAGAAAAGTAAATATAGCGTTAAGAGAGCCCTTGCTCACCCCAGAAAATCGGAAAGACGGGGTCAACATCCTCAGAGCAAGCCTTCTGGTTTAACGATGTGCATTCTTCTTGTCTGGGTTTGGAAATCAGTCCTTTTTCTATCATCTCATCCAAGGACTCATTGCACAGTGCTTCTGGGGGACTATACGATGTTGCTGTCTTATTCCTTTCTAAGTGAAAGCATTCTTTCCCAGGGTTTCCACTATTTGCTGCTATGTTCATGAAGTCCATGCATGACTCCACTTCACAAGCAAAATAACTGATTACTGAAGACTTTTGCACATGTATGGGTAGTCTCACCCCATGGGACTCTTTTGTTGTTACATAGATTCCATTTAAAGAATCTATACACAACATTGGTTCCTCCTTGCCATGCTGTTGTCTTTCGTGTCTTTTGTAATTAGATGTGTTGCTAAAATGAATCTCACATATATTGCAGAACAAGTTCCCTTTATGGACTGGATCAACAGGGGTGTCCTGGCAGGGTTCTCCATCATCTAAGAAATGATCATGATAAATAACATTATGATATTTTTAACTTTATTGCAGTTACATTGATGTAGAATAACTGTGTATGTTATGTATTATGTGCTGACCTGAGGGTCTTTCAGCTACCACCAGACCTGTTGTTTCCACAACGCAAAAATGAATGACAAAAAAAACAATTAAGCTGGGGGGGGGGGGGGGGGGGGGGGGGGGGGGGGGGGGGGACGAGTGAGATTTGTTGACGGGGGGGGTGTGTGGGGGGAAGGGAGCGAGACCTCGCTCGCTCTACGCGGTTTGGAGCACAATCTCTGTCTCGCATGCACGTTCGCTCTAGATAACGGGACATTTTTAACGAATTTGCGGTATAACTAGTCGATCACGAGTGGCTCAACAGGTAGATATATAGATAAACTCATCTTCCAGGCATTTGACCGCCCGGGTTGACTCTTCAGCGTGAGAAATCGGGAGTGTGGCGTGTGAGCGTGTGAAACCAATCAAATGCGGGTGTCTCACGGCCAATGCGTGAGAGTTGGCAGCTATGAAAATATAGAGTACACAACTCACAGCTAGAAATAACCTTACCATGTTTTTTTAAGTGACACTTAAAATCGAATGATCTTATAATTATTTTGTCACACTTTGAACAGTGCCAGTGGCTCCTTATCCCACTCTTTCTGTCAGGACAGTAACATGGTATTGAGAACTTCTCTACAAAGGAAGGAAATTATGGATCATGAAAATTATGGATATTAAATCAACATTAAAACATGGTTTTTACATATATTGTATGTAAATAAAATTCTTTACTTACTCACGCCACCAGCACTATAGTGGACAGCAAATCTGAAATGTTTTAGGTTTATGTGATCCTTGGATGCTTTTACTGATTTACTGCAGTAGCTACAGTCCTGATCTCCTTGCAGACTTAAAAGCTCTTGTTGAGTCACAAACTCAAACTTCCTAGCTGAAAATCAAATATATATTTATGAATAAATGAACCAAGAAAAATAGATTTTGAGTAAACATATCGGTAATGCTTTAGATTATAGCCCGGAAAGTGCTGCGTAATTAATGTGATTTTACAGTCTAATTTTCAGTAATTATAGTGTACCTATAAAGTACTTAGGCCTACATGTAAGTATAAGGTAACAATTTGTAAAGTTTGGGGAATAAAGGGGTAACAATTAGTAGTGATATTAGATTGTGCATGTATTTTTATTGTACTTACCCTGTACATGGAACAAAAGTAGGCTATATTTCCCAGTATTTTTTTTAAAATATATGTATCCTGTATTTTTTTAAAGCCTATACAGTATGTATGTGTACACAATTATAACAAAAAGGTACGTTCTCGCTTAATTTCTCCCAAATGTAAGTTTGTTGTACCATAGTAGTAGAATAAGAATACACCTATATAAATCAATTAACCCTCTGGGGACCAGAGTGTTTTTGGGGCCCTTTGGATGTTTTGACTTGCTCTGACATTTGTGCTTTTTTCAGTTGCTTATAAACATATTAATGGCACAGGTGAAATTAAACTCTATTTAGCACAAACAGGTCTACCATAATGTGTGAGCAACATGTATGTACATGTTTGTATTTTTGAGAGAATATTGTTTATGCGTGGTTATTGAAAAAACTAAAAAATAAAGTTTTTGAAATAAGGACACAAAAAACATACTAAATATGAGTCCACAAGACTTTTGACTAATGTACGTTGTTGCCTAGAGTTTTTGCTTCAAAATGATCTGAAAATCATTCTTCCTAATCATTCACATAAAACAATAGATTGTTTTAAATTGTGAAAAACCTTTTTTTGTTTGCCAAGGCAATATGCGGATGGGCGGAACGGCCCAACCCCTATCATGAATAATTAAGTGGTTCTCAGACAGTGACCCTGCATAATAATGAGCCTTTCATTCAGGGGTGTCACACAAGAAAGAATGTAAGGACAATATATATATATATTGTCATTGCATTCTTTCTTGTATATATATATATAGCCTACATGTGTATATATATATATATATATATATATATATATATATATATATATATATATATATTGTCATTGCATTCTTTCTTGTATATATATATAGCCTACATGTATATATATATATATATATATATATATATATATATATATATATATATATATATATATATATATATACACACACACACACACACACACATATATATATATATATATATATATATACAAACAATCAAAATATAAATGAAAGCCAGAAGCACATTTTTAGTCATACCTGGAAACAAATCCTGGTCAAATGCTATATGGGCCATTCTACAGAATTGGTTCAAAGTTACAGTTGGAAACATCTTGAAAAGAAAATAGTATTTTCCCATAAATGTCTTATAAAGTATTATTTTTTAAAGTAGACCAATACAATAAAAATAAACCAGTCGCATTTCAAAGTCGCTCGCGAAATGACCGCCAGGTGGCGCAAAGGGACATTTATCAAAACGTAAGTGGGGCTAATGTCAATTAACAGTAAGGATGAAATTCTACAAGTTATGGTAATTTACAAATAAGCCTACAACAAACATTTATTTTTAAACAAATATTTTTAAATATGCAACATGCACGTTTAAACAACAAACAATACAATCTGAACCAGCGCTTCCTGTATTGAGACATGCAGCGCGTTTCAGTTACGATCCTGGTTCCAGTGGCCTTAATACATTCACGGCTTTTTAAAATGTCACAAAGCGTTTTGAGATGGTTTTGAATGAAATATTGAAGTTTATAATTAGGGTATTTTGGCACACCACGCCGAGTGGCTATGCATTATTCTAAAATCTGGCTTTATTCTGGCATGTTCAATTAGAGTTTGACAAACGCGGCGGCGCGTTCATTTGGATTTATTTTTCTCATAACAGCTAAAAGAACTTACTGCGTAATTGTTGGTCATACAGATAAGATATCATCTTTTAAAACTGTAAAAGGTCTACTTTTATTCATGTAGGTAGGCTAAAGTAGGCCTACACTCACACAGGCTAACGACAAAACGTTTTCTCGCTCATGTGAGAAACAAACGTTTGGGCATTTCTCAGTGAGAAAATTCATAGCCGAGCGGTAGAACTGACGGTTCGATCATCAAGATGACACGGGTTCAAATCCCGATCAAACATGGTCTACTGCAAATTTTATATTTATTAATGCAGAGAGATTTGTCTAGCTCTAAAACTCTGTTACACCATACAGTTTTTTGGTTATATTTATAAAATAAAATTACCATGCATTTCCATTTTACACTAGGAACAATAGTATCGAACAGAACGACGTTGCATCTGTACCAATCGTACGAGGCTACCAATCGCAATTTTAAAAGCAGTTCTGTAAAAAAAGTAATTTTACATATATAGCCTATATACAGTATATATATATATATTTTTTATTAGGCCTATTATTATTATTATTTTGATTCCCTACAACCTAGAGTTTTTAAAAACATGGTTTTAAGTAAAGTGTGATTTGCCAGGAGGGACGGGGATTTCCTTCTGGTCTAAACATCCCTGCTTCTGCTGAATTATTTGAATCCCCACACTCCTCCCTCCACAGTAATCAATGCTATAGGCTACTTCACCAATAGACCATATCAAATATAAAATAGAGATATGCAACAAGCACGTTTAAACAACGACAAACAATAAAATCAAAACCAGCGTTTCAGTTGTTCATTAGTTCAAGTGGCCTTAATGCATGCACGGCTTTTCAAAATTTCACAAAGCGTTTTGAGATTATTTTGAATGAAATATTGAAGTTTATAATTAAGTGTTTTGGCAGACCACGCCGAGTGGCCCTATGCATTTTTCTAAAGTCGGGTTTTATTCGAACTTTTGCTAACGACAAAAACAGTTTATCTGTCGTCTCTGTCTCCGGGAACTGCGCGTCACAAAAATGAACCGAAAGCCACTTCAGCTCAGTCACTATAAGAAATCGGCTCTGTCTAAAGCCTTTAAATGTCTAAATATTCTGGCTAATAAATGTTATCTGATTATGTAATCCATATGAAAACGAGAGGTACAGAGGATGTACTCAAACATGTAGCCTGTAAGCGCTTCCCAATGAGAAAATGACAAGGGTGAAAATCTCGCTCTAATTAAATGTAGCAGGCTAAATCGCCCTGAATTAAAATGTAAAAACAGATCAAATAATGTATTTGTTGAAATGTTGCGATATTGTTTCATTTAAGTTCATAATTATTCAATAC